TGTACTTACGTCACTAAATTATCATCATTTTATTAGTATTATTATATTATCATTTTCTGTAATAGCTTACAACCATTGTGAAAATTGATGTTTGTAATTTATTTACATCGCAACTGCTTTTTCAAACACGATTTTATCAGGTTGGGTGAGAGCCTGGAGATCTGTCACACAGGTTAGTTCCTAGTATAGACTCCAGTCTCTTGCAAAGGTACTCTATTATTTAAGCATTTTCATGTAAATTACATTATAAAACTTTGTGCCCATGCAGGAGTAAAATAAAGATTATTATTATTATTATTATGTCTAAAAACATTTTCGAATGAAGCAATGAAGCCTTCAAGACTGCAAGATCATTTGTATAAAATGCATCCAGATAAGACAACAATGTAGCATATTTTCAAGACCTAGAGAAGAAGCATAATACTCAGCCAAATGTAGCAAAACTCTTTTCGGCGGCTGCTAAGCAAGATGACGACGGACTTCGAGCTTCGTACAATATCTCTTTGTTAATTGCTCAAAAAGGCAAACCACATAACATTGGAGAAGAGTTAATTTTGCCAGCAATAAAGGTAAGTAATAACTACTGTGCTTCATAAACCGGCCGCAGATATTATCTGAAAAATTCCTTTGAGTAATAATTCTGTGCAAAGACGAATTGATGAAATGGCTGAAAACATTGAAGAATCATTATGCAATCATCTGAGGACTAGTCAATTCTCAATATGGCTCGATGAGTCCACTTTACCAACTAATGAAGCATTGTTGCTGTCTTACGTGAGGTTTAATAAAGATGAGAAAATATGTAGGTAAAGAACAATTGTTTGCTAGAAATTTAGAGACCGATACAAAAGGCGAAATCATGTTCAATACATTGGAAAAGTCTTGTGATGAGAAAGAGATTCCCTTGAAAAATATTATATCAGTTGCTACGGATGGCGCTCCGGCTATGACAGGGTGCCATAAAGGTTTCATAGCGTACTTAAAAAATAAAATTCCAGATGTCCTTGCTGTACATTGCGTTATACATACACAACATTTGGTTGCTAGAAATTTAAGTGAACGACTATTTCAATCACTGCAATATGTCATCAAAGCAGTCGATAAAATCCGTAACAGCTCTTTGAATGATAGATTAATTCATCAGCTTTGTGTTACTAATGACGAAGATTTCAACCGTTTGTTGTTTCATACTGAAGTTCTTTGGCTATCAAGAGGCAATTGTCTGACTCGATTTTACAACCTGTTGGACTCTGTGATAGAGTTCTTGGAAACTAAAGATACAGAATTGCGCATCAATCTCATTACATCAAAGAATGATATAGCTTACATGACAGACCTGTATAAATTGTTCAACGACATGAATCTCCAACTGTAAGGTGATGAACTAAATTTAATTAAAACAAAAAATGTCGTTCATATTTCATAATTTTCCGAATTTATCCTGCAGTAACGACGACTTGTTTGCCTACTGCCAACATTTGGAAAACCGCCACATTGACTTCACCGAACGATACCAGGACATTTTGAATTTGGAATACCAGACTGGGTGTTGGATCCGTTTTCAAATGTCAACACTAAGCAATATCACCTCAGCTGGAAGAAGAACTCACAGAATTGTCAACGAACGAGGATATAAAAATCAAGTTCAAAAATGGCTACCAAGAATTTTGGCTACAAAAACCGATCCCGCAATTGTACCCTGGATTGTGGTCAATCGGTCAACGATTCTTGATAGCCTTCCCATCGTCATATTTGTGTCAACGTGGTTTTAGTGCTGTGACAACGCTGCTAACTAAAAAGGGAAATCGTTTCCATGTTACCGAACGTGGTGACTTGCGACTGTTCTTGAGTAAAGTGGAACCTGATATCAATAAACTTATTAAACAGCATCAGATTCATCCTTTCACATTAATATTTATATTAGAATCGATTATGTTTGTTTTATTTTGAATAAAATATACTCTGTCTGAATACTATAAAGTTGCGTTTCAATAATCATTCTCATTGGCAGGTGTAGCCCGTAAGAGTTAACTTGAGACCTGAGCGCCGTTGTATACTACCTACTGCGCTCAGGTCTCAAGTTAACTCTTGTGGGTTATAGTAAAAGTCTCGTTTAGAATGAATGTTTAATCTCCGCCAATATAGCTCACAATAATTCATTTAATTTGAAGTTATAGTGGTTTTTAAGTAGGTGAAAAAATGGGGGCGCTAAAAAATAATTTATTCTCAAAGTGGGCAGTACACTAAATAAGTTTGGGAACCACTGGTCTAGGTATAAAATAATTATATATAATATATACGGATATAAAGTTGTGTTTGTTCGAACATGACAATATTCCATTATGACAATTCATCAAAAAGTTTGTCACCTCTGACACGGGGGAAGAGGAACATATGTTTCTCTTACCCCATAAGTACTAGACCCTCTTACCCCAACAATGTTTTTGGCGGTTAGGATTTTGATTCCAATAAAACTCGTATTATCTTTTGTTTTTGGTCTGAAATAACTAATAAAAAGTAAAACTTACCGCTTTCTCTACGTGTTTTTCTTCAAAAATAATCTCCAGCACTTTTTTTCACCCAGATCCAGCAAAGAAAAAATTACGCGCCCATCTCGTGTTTTCAGACTACACAGCTGTCAATTTTTTTTTCTCTCTCTATAATTTGGAACATCGTACCGACATCTCTTTACAACCGTTAAAACTAATTTGTTTGCCTGTTTTATCGACTGAGAGACTATAGTGCTAAACGCTTTACTTTACATATTATGGTCTTTAGTCCCTCCTCCCCCGGTTTTCCTCTTACCCCACCTGACCTTATAATATTACTAATAAACGAGAATATAGGGAAAATATGTATAACTAAAGTAAATTTATCATATTTTATATTCTTTTATTTTCCTTAACGCCATTTTTTGTTTCCTTTATAGAACCATATAAACGTAAAGTGTGACTTACCTGCCAAGTAGCTTCAGGGTGATAGCTAAGATGGTAGAGCGTATACGCTATGTAGAGCTGGAACACGTATCCGCCGAAAAGGAATGGTAGTAAATAAGAAAGGCCGCGCCACATCCACGAGTGGAAACCCTCAATGGTAATGTCCATGTTATGTCGCGCACCTAAAGCTTTTAGCCGGTAGAGTACACCACTTTGGTACCTGAACTGCATGTATTGTACGACACCTGCAAATAAGACGTCATTCCACATTAATTTATTACCTGCCATTGATCTCCTATGACAAGAAATTATGAATGATGGCGACATAAACCTTTAGTCTTTGAAAAGTACAAAATGTTTTGCTTCCTACTGTTTTCCTTGTTTTGTCTCATAGGTTCAACCTTCAACAATAGCGTTTGAATGCCTATTTTGAAGTCTCGTACAAATATTCTGCCGTCCGCTAACTAGAACGCGGCTAAGTGACAAAATATTTCTTTGAGATAACTTAAAAGATCATAACCCATTTTAGAACATTGAAATCGTTTAATGATATAATCGTTAATGGACGGAGGTATTATGTTTAACCCCAACTAAACATAAGCAGCAGTAACATATCTTTAAAAATGTGCAAATTCTTAATTACACAAAAACGTATCTTATTTCTACATTATAAGAAACAATTTAGATATTAAAATCTAAAGCTTAAGATAATTGACATCATAATACGTAACTTCGAGGAATTCGCTACATTTTATGTTTTATAGTTCCCTAGTATAATTCCGATAAAAGGTCTTGATGGCAACATCGTCGGCGCATACCCGGCGCTAAGGAAAAAACAAAGAGTGGTGTATGGATTTGTTATGATCGCTCGTGTGTCGATTGTACCATCAATTCCTTTCTTTGTCTTTTTTAATAACAAAACAGTTCTACTCAATGACAAATCACAAGTTCGTAATTGATGTTACTGCACCAGTTTAGAATATAAATTGTCATACCACATTATCGTAAATTTTATTGAAAAATAAACTAAAATACGTAATACTTTACCTAATAAAAGAAATACCTAAATAAAAAAGAAAATGCGTAAAATTGTAAACACAACAAATTTCAATTAAAGCAATGGTAAGGATAAATAGATAAAACATAATCCTTACGTGCATGCTTAACTAACAATAAAAAAAAACTAAAGAAAAAACCCTTTTTGTTTAAATTAAGTTATCCTAATATTTTAAAGAACCGTATATCAGAGGCGACTCGTGTTTTGTACTGGCACGTATAGGGTTTGTTATTGGTTCAGTAACATTTTATTAAAGAGTCTCAACACATACTACGTCCATGCGCATGTAACTTACATGTTTTTGACAAAAAGAAAGAAACAAAATTATTTGTGCAGAATAAACAGGACTTACTGATATACGCAATGAACCACATAAATGTATGTCGGAACTCGTTCCACGGTTCATTCTGTGGCCAAATAAGTAGTACACCAGCTACCACGGTTGAAATGAAGTGATGCAGCCGCCACCACCCTTTGATACGTGACCCGTTCACTTTGAGAATACTCTCTCGAATTGTTAGAGTGCAGTAATACCATACCAGAAGGAATATGAGTATTAATTGTAAGGGCCTGAAATAAAGATAGATAATGATTTTTCTTTTTCTAACCGACTTCAAGAAGGAAAAAGGTTCAGTTCTATTATGCTGTCATTTATGAACCGATTTCCGAACATTCTTTTTTGTTGAAACAGGGTTCGTAGGGGTCCCATTTAAATTTGAAGAAAATATTCCATCGCTAAGGGTAGCAAATTAGGGGATCAATCCAGTATATCGAATTTCACTCATAATTAAGTATATAATTATTTACTTATTTTATAAAAAAGTTATAATTATCACAATAGAATTTTATTGGAATTCATTTGAAACGAATGAAATTATATAAGTCTATTCTATAAAAAATTCATAAACGTCGTATATTTTTTGACAATTTTAATTGAGTATTAAAAAACCTAATTTCTCCGTCGAATTAAAAAAAGTCAGAATGTATAATGTACGGAATTTTTTTTTAAATTGTTTGTTGACTAATTTACTAAAAAGCTCTTATATTTCGAGGTACGACAAATACTAATTCGTACTTAATAATATTTTTAAATAATAAAAATGTGATCATGTTTACCTACCTGAAATCTATGTACAGATTAGCAACAGCTAAAACAAATGCAATGGCGCTGAGAATTAATTTAAACTTCTCATATTCATCTTTGTACTTGAATCTGAAAGAGACACAAATTATTAGTAAAAATATTAGCATTTACTAAGGGGTTTGTCGACGATGTTTGTAGAGTATAAGGACCCACCCTCATTCGGGCAATAGAGATCCCTCTAAATCTAAACCGGATACACATAATAGATATTTCAGTTCTATGTACAAAACATTCAGTAGTCCAAGTCACGTAAGTTCAAGCGGTCCGTGTTCGAGATGTACTCGGTCACTGAGGCAGTTATGTTATACTTGTAGGCATACGGTGGTGCGCCTTGTTCAGTAGGGCTAGCACGACTGGGCGCGACTAGCGCGAGAGCGTCATAAAGCGCGATATATTTCTATTCTCGCATAGAGACTATGTATGTATGTATTTCATACAAGTATAACAGAACTGCCTCAGTGACCGAACAGTTACCATGCTGGTCTGCCACGCGGAGGTCCCGGGTTCTTCTTGTGCCGGGAGAAAAATTTGGATGGTCAACACTTATTTCTCTCGTGAGTTTGGGTGTAATTTGTGTTTGTTTATATGTGTGTCCATGGCACACGTGATACAGGGTTTCCCTAATGCGGGGCTACCGATTATGGGCGTTATGAATGTGTTCCTTAATAGTATACAAATACAATACAACGTTATGGTATATAACACAACATTGAGTGAAATAAAAATATTGAAAGATCAAATGGCAACGTCGCGCGGCGCAAACCGTACGGTTCGGCATACAATAAGTATACCTAATAATATAAGTAATACCTAATTACCAGTTTTTTTGTTTGCACTGTTCCCAGCTTAAGAGCAGCAAAATTACCATTCTGACCACAGTTGCTAATAATAATAATAAAATTAACTTTTGTTTGACCTTAAGTATGTCCCACTTCAGTTTCACACTTACGTTACGAAATTCAAACGCTTAAATTATTATGGCGTATTGTTATTATTATACCCATGAACGGTAAGAATGATAAGTCACTTCACGTTTTGCCAGATTAAGATCGACTAAGGTCGATTACAGACTCGACAGACTGCAACTTAGAGCGATGCCACACGATGCGTTGCGTCGGCATTGCGATGACGCTGCGTTGTACTACATATAAATCAGAACGAACATACAAACTTGCAAACAAATCTCTGCTACATCCAGTCTAGCCAAGGGTGGAATTACATTCTATTTATACGTCTATTGTTTACATTAATTACTAGTTTTCTATTTTAACACATTTTTTTTACAATGATCACATTGATTAAATTTATCGATTACATTTGAAAACATTCGAACATTTGACATAAGCATGCCTATGAAGTTCATTAATTGCTATATTAAATAATAATGTAATAAATTATGAATAATGAAAATAAATTGTAATTGTTTTAATATAAATCATCATAAATCATCCTGTACTGTAAGAAAAAAAGTACATATACGAGTACATACTTACATACAATACACATAAATTACAAAAGCAAATAAAATAACCAAATAGCTAACTGTCCTTATCCTACACAAGATAAGCGCAAAAGACAGAAAGAGATTCGTTACGTCAATTTCAATTTTCGAACCACAAGCGATTGAAATATTTAGATTTAGAACAAAGAAACTATAGAGTTGATTTAATGTTAATTTTATTTTTATAATGACTATTTATTAAATGTTAGTAATAAATAACTAACAAAATATTGTTGTATTCGTTTTATTGTTTGGAGTTATCAATCAGAAGTCCGAAAATACATTTGCCCGAAATAATGTTTGCTCGAATTTTTGTAATCCCAGATGTATTTTTTAAGATTATTTTAGGAATATTACAAAACACACTAATTTAATCTTTTCTTTGTAATAAGCAATCAAAATCCCCGGAAAGCATAACGGTTTTGTTATAAATCGGTTTTCGAGATTATGAAATTTTGAGTTTACGTTTAGTTGGAATCTAGAAATTCAAAACATCGATACATTTCATACAGCACGTCATAACTACCAACAGAGAGAAACAGCTTTTTTCGCATTTATAATATTTGTATGTAACTATATATATCTGCACAACTCTTATTACTTGAAGCGAATTCATATAAAATTCAACATAATACTATAAAATTAATTAATATTGACATTAAGACTACTTCATCACTCTTGTGTTCAAGTAGTTTTCACTAGACGCCAAATGCACCATATTTTGTTATATCCAGTAGAAGCTGAACATGGATAATTTTTGGGCCTTTAAATTGTGGTAAACAAAATTAAGCAATACTGCAATTACTTTACAATTTCAATGAAATGTTTTAGTTTTTTTATTTTTCTATACACGTCAATCAATACCGACAAGCATGCCCGGAGTTACCCTGTACGTTAACTCCGGCCATGCTTGCCATTATAAATACATAACATGAACTGAAAAAAAAACTCCGGAAATTGTTTCGCGGTTTTCGGATTAGACTTTGGATTGTATTTATTCCATTTATTGGTAAGTAAATAGTACGCATTCATGAAGCAATAGAAGACGATGTTCGAATAACAAAACCCACCCCAAAAGTACGTGGAATTACATATAATTACCAAGTTTTATTGAAACCGGTTACCGGAAAGTGCGCAACCCCGGATCCATCCCCTAGTTCGCCACTATACGGGATTTGACACAGGAGATAATAAAAATCAGATAATAAAAATCGATTCTCACTACTTAAAGCATATTGAGAGAAAAACGCCTTGAATTGGAGAACAGCAAAAACAATCATTAAAATAATTGCTCCTTATTATTTTAGGCGCTATTTATAAAAATGAATCTTCATGCGTGAACAGCCACGCTTAGAGGTGGATGATTTTCTTCAAAATTAAATGGGACCACTATGGAGGTACCCTCTTTCCAACAAAAAACAACAGAATCATGAAAATCGGCTCACAGATACCGGAGTTATCGCATAACATACATAAAAAAACATACAGTCGAATTGAGAACCTCCTCCTTTTTTTGAAGTCGGTTAAAAAGAAAAAGAAGCTGGATACATCCACCCAATATGAAACGATTAAAGTGCACAGTGTGTTATTTTACTTTAGTTGCGGACATCCACGTTTTATGTTCGATTTCAATAGGTTGACTCTTAACAAATTGTACTAAGAAACACCCGTTTAGGTATTTACTTTTATTATGGAGATATAATTTTTTTTCGAAAGGTCATTGAACGTCAAGAAAAATGTTTTTGCCTATATTTCCCGAAATATGAGAAACTTCCCTTTTAAAAAAATACAAATTGACTGTCTATTTAAACTTTATTAAATGTGAAAATCGTAAGTTCTTTAGCGGACAAAATTGGGAGAAAAATTTTTTTTTGTTAATTTTAATAATATATTTATACTAATCGAGTTCTTAGGTTTTCGCGATTGTTACACATAGGAAATGAAACTATTTTTCCGGATTTAAATCGCGTATATTTGTTTTTTCAAATACACCGACGTTTACTTTACAGGTCCCATAGTCACGGTTGACAACCGTGACCATGGGACCTGTAAAGGGCCCGAAACGTCGGAAAGTAAACGTCGGTTTGTTTTAAAACACAAATATACGCGATTTAAATCCGGAAAAATAGTTTCATTTCCTATATTTATACTAAATTAACATTTTCTTTACCTTTAAAATATGCTACATTAATGTATCTGTCGAATAAAGAAAAAAGTAAACGTTTATCTCGGAAGATCTCAGAGATACCGCGTTTCTAAGGTTTTTTTAGATTTCTATGTCAAAGTCAAAGTCAAAGTCAAAGATTATTTATTCCATAGGTAAAATAAATTTACACTTGAAATCGTCACATTTAAGCTACTGCTCGTTCACTACGCTGACCTCCCTGAGAAGAACGAGCAAGAAACTCTAGGGATTGCTCTTTTCAAATAAACTTAAATGCTATGGAATAACACTTTGAATCAAATTTGTGTGGATTCTGGAGCCATGTCGTCTTTCCATACATCTTTATCTAACACGTAGTCTTCAATTTTGTAATATGATTTTTCGATCAAAATATTTTTAACGTAGTTTTTAAACTTAGGAAATGATAAACTTAATATATGCTCCGGAATCTTATTGTAAAAACGTATACAGTTCCCCATAAAAGAGTTGTTTACCTTGGTTAAACGAAATCGTGGTACCATGAGTTTGGACTTAGCTCTAAGGTTAATATTATGGATATCTTCTTTCTTATTGAAATTATGTATATTTTTACGAGCATATAAAATATTTGAGTAAATGTTCTGTGATGCCACAGTCATGATACCAGTCTCCTTAAACTTTTCTCTGAGAGAAACCCGAGAGCCTAGACGGTACACAGAACGAATCGCTCGTTTTTGCAATACAAATATGGTTTGAATATCTGCCGCTTTACCCCACATGAGAATCCAGTAGGACATTATGCTATGGAAGTAACTAAAGTAAACTAGTTTAGCAGTACTAACATCGGTAAGCTCACGTATTTTGCGGACTGCGTATGCAGCGGAGCTTAACCTGCTGGCCAGGGAAGATATATGTGGAAACCATTGAAGTTTACTATCTAAGGTCACTCCCAAGAAGACTGCTTTATTAACAAAGTCCAACTTTTCTCCGTTTATTTCTATGCTTCCAAGCAGCTAGTCAATTTTACGTTAGGTAATTCAAATTTAACACATTTTGTCTTCTTGGTATTAAGCAATAAATTGTTAGCATTAAACCAATAAACTACCTTAGAGAGGGTATCATTAATATGGTCATAGTTAATGTCATGTCTGTCGGTTTTAAAAATCAAGGATGTGTCATCAGCAAACAACACTATTTCGCAATGGTCCTTAACAAAGAATGGCAGATCATTAATATAAATCAGAAATAAGAAAGGCCCAAGTATTGAGCCCTGTGGAATGCCCATTTTTACCGGAGAACCCAAAGAAGTCACACCATTTATGTCTACTTTCTGAATTCTACCGTTGAGATATGACGAGACAAGTTTCGACGCCTTGCCATTTACACCGTAATGTTCCAGCTTCCTAATAAGAGTAATATGATCAACGCAATCAAATGCCTTTGAGAGGTCACAGAAAATACCAATAGCGTTCTGGGACCTTTCCCAGGCATCAAAGATGTGTTTTAGTAACGCTACCCCCGCATCGCTAGTCGATCTACCACTAGTAAACCCGTATTGTTCACTATGAACAATATGATTCCTACCGAAATAGGACAGTAATTAGTCAGCATAACCTTTTCGAATATTTTACTTAAAGCTGGTAAAATTGAAATGGGCCTATAGTTGCTAGGATCAACTTTCCTACCGCTTTTGAATAAGGGAATAACCTTGCTGTATTTCATTAAATCGGGAAAAACACCTTCGTCAACGCACCTATTGAAAGCTACAGCTAAATGTGGAGAAATAAGATCAATAACTGAGTCTATAACTTTAGTTGATATGCCCCAGAGATCTTCAGTTTTTTTAACATGTATTGATTTAAAAGCTTTTATGATGTCTTGTGGATTAACATGACGGAAATTAAATAAACTGCCACAAACGTTAACATTTTCCTTTAGGAGATCAATAGCAAGTGAAGGGAAGGAATTTAATGATTCTGTAGTGTTCACAGCAATTTCCGAAAAGAACGATTCAAAAGCTTGGGCTACTTTATCTTTAGATTTTATAAGTTTACTGTCTAATTCTAAAACTATATCTCTATCGTGTTGTTTAACCCTGCCTGACTCTTTGTGTATTATGCTCCAAGTAGTTTTAGATTTATTTATCGATTGTCTAATTTTGTCGCTGTGAAACTTAACCTTGGCAGCTACACATACTTTTTTAAATATTTTTGAATAAATTCTAACATATTCTATGAAATTGGAATTAGTATTATAAGTTTTCATAGCATATAGCTCATACAAACGAGACCTACTCTTATGAATACCTACTGTTGCCCAGTCGTTGAGTTTAGTCAAAGTTTTAGTAAAAGTTAATGTTTTCGATTTAAATATATTATCAAATTCATTTTTAATTAAACCAAATATCGTGCTATATAAAGTATTTGGATCCTCCGGTATATGGGGCAGGGAATTTAAAATATTGCCGATATATGGAAATAAGGTTCTCACAAAATGTATAAATTTTTACCCGACTACGTAAATCAATGGCGAGTTATGTGTTAAAACAACAATAATAATATTATTTATTTCGAATAGGAACAGACCTGTACGTGGTAGTAGATACAAAGATGTGAACTTATTTTAATGTTAGTAAATATAAAATTTTATTCATACATGTGGGAGCTTTTGTAGCCTACAACAATTCAAATTCCTTTATGAGGTTCAGATAACACAGTCCATATCGTCGCCTTACTTGGAGATGGCAAAATTTTCTATTTATTTTAAATTTCTTATTAAGGGTGTTAATTTGGATGCATTACTTTAAGAATAGGTAAAAGCCAGTGTGTGAATATGAAGGAAATGTGATGTGAAATTAGCTTGCAAAATTTATCTAAACAATCCATTTTTTACATTTCAGTAACTCTGTGCTTTAAGATACGAGTTTGAGAAAGTAAGGCGACAATATGGTACAGGGTCAAGAACACGTCAAGCTTGACACTTAAGATTTCAATCCAACTCCATGTCGCTTACGATAAGAACGGTCCAAAGTACAAAGTGTCAAGCTTAACGTGCTCTTGGAGTGAAATAAATTAAATTGAAATAATTATGTCAAAAATAATTTAAAACAATGTACGTTACGTAAAATTGGCATATTTTGTTATAATATTCACGTATGTGCATTACGTTGTGTGAATAAAGATAAATTATCCTGGCAAATGCTGAAAGCTCATACATTTTCCTCATTATCGGATTGCCGAATGATTTCGTTTGTTGCTAGCTTGATATCAGCAGTTTCAATACTAATGTGTTCTGATCGGTAATGATGGTGACGAACATTTTCCGTGGTCACTTTGAGAAGGTGAAGAACTTTAACAGGTATAGGTAGAGATATTTTGTTGGTGACGTGTACTAAGTGTCAAAGAGGATAAATAAAGATCAGACGATTCCAGTGCACAGTGAAACAAGTCTGTGATGGTCGTTTTCCGATACAAATTTCGTGTATGGTGCTCTCGATCATAACGTCAAAACTTGTTCCTTGATTCACCGGCTTGTTCCGATAACATACCTATTGGTAATGTGCTACACTCAATGAATATAAAATATTGAACTTTGCAAACTGGATAAGTATTCAGCAACCCTAACCCAAAATTTAAAAATTTATTGAATTTTTTCTGGTCTTTTGTGTTTGTCGCATCTGGATTTTTTTATGGTAGTACTTATTACTGTATTTTAAATTTTTATTTAAAATTGAATTGATATAGAATTGATATTCAATTATTTTTTGTGAAATTACTCCACAGTTTGTAATAATTATTAATACAAAGATCGAACACTCAGAAAAAATTCCTTCGATCCGGCCGGTTTCGAACCGACGTCTTCTGGCATACCATGTCCGACTCTATGCCAACTAAGCCACGGAACGAACCAGCGGGCTTGATATTTTTTAATTTTTGTACTTATTGGCGCTTTTAGTAGTTTTCTATCATAACATGAAATATTTAATGAATAGTCATTTACAGGAAAGGAGATAATCTGATTTCGTGATCTCTATGGATTTTTCTCGATTTTTTACATTTCTCTAAAACTATGATAGTTATAGCCAGGAGAGTTTAATTAAGAGCTTTGTTTAAGTATTATCTTTCTTAAAAAAAGACATAAAACGAGGATATCCGCAACTAAGGCAAAATAACACACTGCCGGGCACAAGCAGGTATATCTGTCTCAGTCGCACCTTTAGATTATTTTACAGTTATCTAAAGAGATAGAAAGCTACCTAACGGTGCATTGGCTGGGGTTGAAAATTGTTAAAAACTTTATAACGTTTACTTTCCTTCAATTTTATAATTGACTTAGTAAGTTCGTCAAAACCCGGTACCCTATACAAAAGCGCATTCCATGTTAGCAAGGTACCGAGTTGTAGGTACAATATGTATTCAATTTTCCGACCTTTGATCAAGGGTCATATACGGCTCACCCCAGAAAAGGCAAGCAGTCAGGTTTCACGCCCATATTGAGGGTAAAAAATATTTACTATTAAATACTTGTTAAGTTTTGTTCAAATATTGTTATAAAATGCTTCTATTTACCACAATTACCTAAAAACACCACAAATCACGGCTATTTGGAAGTTGTACTCTACTGTTTTAAATCAGATCAGATCTACAAGTTTTTGAAATGCCAATGTTCGTAAAATGGCCTCTTTAATATATGTATTGCGTCAATTTAGAATCAGAGGGTAGGGTCACTTCCGCTGTACAAGTCCTCTCGAAGAAAATAAAATTAAGAAGTGAGTAAAGTAAGATATGAATATATAATATTGCTCTTTGCAGACAGGATAAATGTTCAGTGACAACCCTAACACAATATTTAAAAATTCAATATTTTTGAACTCCTCTGTTTGTCGCATCTGGTTTTTTTTGTGGCGTTGAAAAAAAATGCTAATATATAGAAATTCTCCAGAAGAAAAAATTATAGAAAAAAATTAATTGTGGTCTAGCAAACCTTGATATTTTTTAATTTTGTGGTGTTTTTTACTTTTCCATCATAACATGAAATATTTAAAGAAAAATCATTTAAAGGAAAGGAAATAATCTGATTTTATGGTTTTTATGGATTTTTCTCGATTTTCTAAATTTCTCTAAAACTATGATAGATACGAACTTATTACGAACTTTGTTTGAATATTATCTTTCTAAAAAACACATAAAACGAGGATGTCCGCAACTAAGGCAAAATAACACTCTGTGAAGTGTGGGCAGTTTCATATATTATATACAAGTTTATGTGACATCCAGATCAATTTGTTAAGTACTACCACATGCCAATAAATGTTTTTCAAGAATTATGTTCAACCTCGGTGATAATTTTTTCTGTATCGAACATTTTCGAAAGAAACGTCTATATTCAAGTGCATCCTATACCAAAGTGACCCCTTCCCTCACGCCTACCTCCACCCGCGCCAGCCCGACACACGATGCGATCGAAAGTCAGTCGTCATTACGCACGTGAATCGGCTGATAACTCATTTTGCGTCGTCGTGTGAAACAAATCGTACTTTTATATGAAACCGAATGCAGCGCAAATTGCGCAACTCACAAAATTACGCTTGTCTGGCCTCACACTAAAACAATAGCACTGTTACACTATTCACAAAATTGCAAAAGAAATCCTCTTCATCCAGTCTAGCCAAGAGTGGAATTACATTTTTCATATACGTGATTAACCAGTACGTAATACATATCGACACCGTCACGTCGATAACTTCCCGTCTCTAATATATTCATGAAAATCGATGTATTTTTATAGGCCTATTCTGTGTACGGACATGACATGAATGTGTGTTTTATCTGTGTATTTGTAAAAATAAGCTAGTGTTGTCGACTTTTGTTTGTGTGAGACCATAGTGACACAATTCAATATTGCATTTGAGTGCACCTGTTTGCTTGTAGTACTACCACCCCGCCCCTCAAAAAGTGGCAGAAAGTTTTGTTCGAGAAATAACGCTAACAGCGCCTCCGTCCTATATGCTCTAAGATGGTGAGGTTAGCCGCGAGGTTTTATTGGTTACACTGGGCTACGGCCAGAGTCCCACTACTCGCTGCTCCCCCGAGCTGAGCGGTAGGTCTACGTAACTCATTTCCCAGCGAAAAAAAAGTGGTGGCGAACGAGGATATGATGTAGCCAGGTCTGAACTAGTAGTGTCTAGACACATTTGTTTGAATTGAAGTTAATACATTTTTCATATAATAAATTTGAACATTGTTATATAGTTGCTGATTTTAGATCTGAAATTTCTCACAAACGACCAATTTCAGGTACAGTACTGTATTAGATGTACATTAAAATCTTACTTGTCGTTTTTGTTAAGAATCGACACGTTGACATTTCCGAGTATGATCTTCAAATAAAGACTATTCTGTTTGGGCAGTGTGGCTTCGATCTCGTGCAGCATGGCTTTCCTCTTCATTATCTCTTTTTCGAGATTCGAAACGCGCTCGTCTTTTGGTACTCTTTTTTTTTCTAACCTGTGGGTAAAAATAATAAAATTAATATTGATTGTAATGAATTTCATGATATTTTTAGTACAAAAATATCATGGCAGTCCATGATATTCATTTATTTTTGTGAAATTACTCGGATAGTTTATTATAAATTATTAATACAAAAATTGAACACAAAGAAAAATTCCGTCGATCAAATAGGACACGGAACTGTCTGTATGCCACTATAGCAACCTGTCAGATTGAAGAAATTTTTCTAAGAAATTTTACAAAAGTTGATTGTATTAATATTAATAAAGTTAATTATACAGTAGTGACTATGCATGTCTAGTATAAGCAGCCTTAGATAATCGCAATTATTATAAAATATAAGTCAGTTCATGACCGACACTAAGCCGTTTTATTCGTCTCCACTCCCGACTTGTCCCGTACATGGCGACCCTGCCTATGGCCGCCTCGCCGCGCGCGTTGTTTGTTGCATTTGATACCGTTCTCCATATAAAGACTGGAATATTTTGTGCCATCTAATCGGACTAGTTAATTTAAAAATGTATCGAGTGCCATTGAGTTTCGACATCGTGATAGACGTGTATCATTGTATACCAATAAAAAATGGGGAAACAACAATCAAAATCTGAAGAAACCACTATTGTGCAGAATGCCGCAGGAGGTAACAATCAGGCATCAATTGAGCAATATCAATACCATATTACAATTACGAACGCTCTGATGTCGTTTATAATGATCGTGTTAATATGTGGTATACTTTACGGCATCTATAAAGTATACAAAAAATGCAATATTAATTGGATAAATGCAGAATTTTACCGAAACACAATAAGAAAGTCGGTGTTCCGTATGCCACCAGATGCACATGGGCAACAAAATACAAACCCAATTCAATCTCCAAAGCTGCATCCCGACGTAGTTTGAAATGAACTCCTACGTTCACGTTCTCCTACTTCAGATATTTAATTATTACAAGAATGCCCCTTGCAATTGACAAGGTTACTGTAGTACACACAGCCAAACATAGAAATCATTTAAAGTTTTGAGTAATATTTTGGACAGTTCCAGTTTCGGATATAAGAAATGTGAGTGCAACCTGTTGTGAGTGATTAAAGTAAGTGCGTGAAAATAAAATACAATCAATACGTGAAAACCGTAAGTGGCGTCTAACAATAAACAGTATGATAACATTCCAATTTTAACCTATATTACTTTATTTTTACTCATATTTCTCTACATTATACACATATTTTAATCGCTATAATTTTAATGTATTGACATTTCATACATTTTACTTTTAAATGCCCTATGGCAAGTGTTTTAGAATCTCTGTATAGTGATTTAAAAGAAGTGAGATTATATTTGACTAATATAGGACCTTCTAGAAGAAACAGCATTGTATTATTTAATAAATGAAATGAAGCAAATGTGTTATATGAAAAATATACAACTCTATTAGTTGTTCTAGATAAAGATATTAAATTAGGAAAAATCGATTCTAAATGTATACATGCCATAGAAAATATTTGTGAAAAAATTACACAGTTATATTACGATATTCTAGATTGATATAAAGTTGACTTCGAGAATAACGAAAAAGAAAAAGTAAAATCAACCACGATGACGTTCGATTTGAAAACAGCTCTTAGCTTATTGCCAATTATGACGGATGATGAGTCTGTTACAAAACAACTCATAGATAATATTGAATACTATGACTCAACCCTAACAGAAAATGTCTATAAGCAAAACTTAATTAATTTTGTTTTAAAAACTAGATTGGCACAGACAACGAAGTTAAGGTTAAATTCAGAGTATCAAAGTGTATTTGAATTAGTCACTGATATGCGAGCAGAATTATTACCAAAAAGGCAGCCACTGCAATCTAGGACAAGTTACAAAAAATAGGACAAAATGAGATGTCAGTTTCAGATTATGGGAAAGAATTGACCGAATTATTTCTCGATCACATGATCTCGCAAGCCAACGGGAACGCAATTTCGTATAAAATACTTATACTGCTGAACGAAAAATATGCGATTAAACAATTTGCCGACGGCTTACGAAATCGTAGGTTGAGCACAATTATATAAGCAAGAAATTACAGCTCTCTCAAGGATGCGGTACAAGCCGCTCAAGACGAGGAGTTATCAACGGAATCTACATTGGAGGAAATATTGGGTACGTACAAAAAATATATAATACCAACTATAAAGCCCATAGGTACGATTCGAGAGGAATACGAGAAGGCTATAATAACAGGTATCCCTCCTCCTCCTACGGAGCTCGAGGCTACGACAGCCGCTCCCGAAGGTGGAACTCTCAGCCATCATCGAGAGGCCCGTGACAGCTCTTGCGAAGATGTCCAACTAGAGGTACATTTATTAATAATACTACTCGAGGCAATCGTAATCAAGGGATACGTCGACGGTGTAATATAAATACAATGATTGAGTCAGAAACTGAAAATCAACAGGGTAGCGTTTCGTGTTCGCAACATGAAAATTCCACAAATTGGTTCTTTCGTGAATAATAGAGAACAACATCAAATTTTAGTTGGCAACAGTAACTGTTACATTAATATTGCACCATCTAATCATGAATCATATTCTTGATTAGATGATGATTCTTTTAGATTCTGGAGCATCCATATCGGCATGGAAAATTAAACATGTTGGTGAACATGACAGTCCAATTGACAGAGTCCAAGTCGTAGGATATGTTTACCTTTCACTTTATTTGGGAGATGAGATAGTCAGTCACAAGTTTTATGTTTTTAAAACATTGCCTATTTTGTCTAATGGAATTCAGGGTCGAGATTTCTGAAACAAATTTAAAGCGCAATTGGATTTTAAAATGAATAAGTCAGTAAGTAAGAAGTAAGTAAATGAATAATCTTTACAAACAAACAGCCAAACAGAGATAACATAAAAACAGAACAAAATATTCCATGATTGAAAATATGTATTTTGTGATTGTATATGACACTAAATGTATCTAAAAAAAAGTTAATTTTATTTTTTATTTTTTTGATGGAAGGTGTAGTGATTAAGCATGTCTAGTATAAGCAGCCTTATATAATCGCATTTATTATAAAATATAAGTCAGTTCGTAACCGACACTCAGTCTTTTTATTCGTCTCCCGACTCGCCCCGTACAATACACATACTTCCCATATTGTAGGCGGAGACTACTCAATTTACGATCGATCGACTTATGATTCAAGTGTGCCGTGTTTACAGTGTCATTGAAGAATTTCGTTCTTCAGAAGACTAGTGTCCACATGTATATATTATTATGTCATATAATTTATCTGGTCCGTTTCTAATATTTACCTAAACTGTTCATTAGTAGGTAGTGAGAAATTCATTAAAAACGTGTCAATCGGAGTACTGTCATAAAATAAATCAACCTTCATTATTATGTAGTCGACAAGTGCAGGTAATATATAAATGTAATGCAAAAAGTGCATTGTGCTAACACTGTCGCTATAGTGAAGATTATTGTAGTAAATTTATCAATAATTAAAGTATTATAAGTGTTTTTGTCATAAAATATCTTGTTGATAAAAATACTTGTAAGAATGTTTTAAATTTATTGCATATACATATAATTTAATTACACTAAAGCTATAGACCTTGACTACGTGTTCCTGCATTAGGACAAAAAGTGTATTTTTTTTTTTAAAGAAATAAGTATTCTTTACTGGTATATAATAAAGTCAAATAGCAACACTCAAAGAAATTAAATAGAGTACGGGAGTCGAAAGAGGAGGAGTTGATTCTTTTTCAATATAATTCTGAGATTAGTATTCTTAGAGATATACATAAAGGGTGAGAGTGAATAGGCATTATTTAGATGTGCATTTTCCATCGTTAACTTCATCGTCACTTTCCATCAGGTGAGATGGAAGTCAAATGCGCACTTATTTCTAAATAAAAAATACATAATATCAAAAAGTTCTACTCAACGTGAATAAATTTAAAAAATACTACTAATGGCATTTGTTATACAAAACTGCAACAAAGTTACAATAAAAACAAGTAAAGGATAAATAGTCAATCTCATTTCCATTTTATAATCTATTGTTATTCCTGATTTGCATGTCGAACACACGAGACATGAACGCGATTACTCTCACGACATGTCCCAACTAATGCTCGGAGAAAAGGAAATAGTCAATTGTTTTATTGCATTAAATCACTCGCTACGACCAACATACATAGAATTACATAACACAGGACTTAAATCACCTTGATATCATATCTACTTGCCCTATGTACTGATACGCGTATATCCTAGTATAATCTCTTGTTTAAAACATAATCAACTAATTCTTGCTAGATAAAATGTTTAACAGATTACTGAAAAATATATTAAACGTGTTTTACGAGTTTATAATAAATATTGTGAAGATATGTGCTGTCAATTCTTTTCTGAGAAGATACAAATGGCGATGCATAATCCTGTTTTGGGTTACCTATCAGAAGTCCGAAATGACATTTTCCAGAAATAACGTTTTCTCGAATTTTTATAACCGCGAAAGTAAGGGCGCGTTCCCACTATGTCGTGACTACAGATTGTCGTGCAGTTTACAGTGTGGTGCTTGTATATTTAAATGAAGTTGTTCACATATAGCACGACACGATTAACTGTCGTTCACGATTTTTTATCGTTACAACGACAAACTGTCGTCACAGTGGGAACAGCTATAACGACAGTCGTCAGACGATAAAAACGTGACGACAGATTGTCGCAGCTCCTATTGTCGTCACGTTTTATTTATCGCTGTCCGCACGTATTCTGCTCCCTGCCCTCCCCTCTCGTACCCCGCGCCCTTTGCTCGCTTTGCAGTATCGTTGGGTCGTAGTCAAAGATGGGCAATCGCCCGGCTTTTAACCCGGCGCTTTTTTTTTTTTTATTATTCCAGTTTGCGTAAGTACGCAAACTGGAATAATAAATACATATAAGAATACTATTTATAATTTTATTATGTAGTTTTGATTGTTTATCATTGAAATACCTACTGTAATGACTTGTACTCTTAATATATTTCTTTAACAAAACACATGTTTCTTATAAAATGTATAGTACAAAATATGCAGAAGAATATGTATAGTAAAGGTATGCAGAAGAATGCATACAAAGAGACTAAATTCGTAAAAAAGACGTCATAAAAAGTCAGGTGTAAGTTAATGAATTTAATCGCACACCCAATAAATAGATATTGATTGCCACATTGCACGATCATACCTCTCTTGCATCATTTACATTCATCACATCTTTTCATATGAACAAGCACTCCTATTCTTCTCACTATGCACTCCAGCCTTTTTAGGAAAACATTCTATGTTTCATCCGAAAACGTCCTTTATGACCATCCTCTTCCAGAGTTGCCTTCCATGTTGGCTCTACTCTACACACATATATCTCTTTCACCACTCTATGATCATTCATCCGCTCCATGTGCACTAACCACCTCAACACGTCTTTCTCTATTTTTGTCACTACATCTTCATTTCTTCACAAATCGTGGTATTCTTCAATCTGTCATGTAACCATACATTACTTATTTTTCTGAGGACCTCATTTCTACAGCATTCACTCTACTCTCGTCCATCTTCTGACATACCCAACACTCCCACATATCAGCCTTGAAACCAAAACAGGGATAATCTATCACAAAATCGAATTTATTTTGTCCAAAATAACGTTTGTTCGAATTTTCATTACTCCGAAAACCGAATTATAAGGAAATCGTTGTTCTTTCAGGATATGTTGGATGTTTATCACAAAGACACGATTAGGTTATGTTAAGTTAGGTTTAAAAGAAAAAACATTTTTCTCTCAAAATTAGGGCACGTTCCCACTATGTCGTCACGTTTTACAACAGATAGTCGTCTGTCGTGTCTAGCCTGTTCCCATATCACGACTATCTGTTGTGGACGATTTTTATCGTTGAACGACTGTCGTGACTAGCTGTTCCCACTAGATCGTGACGACAATTTATCGTTTCACGACAGCATCCTTGTCGTTTGCACGACAGAACCGTTTGATGCACTGCAGTCGCTTGTATGTTCTTTTGGAAGCCGGTAGTGTGTGTTCGCTCGAAATGGATGAAGACGAAATTTTAATAATGTATTACTTTTAAAAAATGCGGAAGAGGAAGCAAACGAAGAAAAGAAAATTTTGGGTACATCCAATGCTACTAAAAAGAATTCCATTAGGGTTATGTCAAACGGTATACGAAGTTGCTTTCTTTTCGGTATTGTCAAAACCTGCTACGACCAGAGATGGGCAGTGGGTTAAAACCCAATCAACCCGCCCATGTTTTCACCAGGGTTTTACCACCACCTGTCAATCCTGTAGATTCTCAATGAAGATCGATTCAAGTGCAACGATTTTTTGTATCAATATATTGATGAACTTTTCAAACGAATCTATTCAATAGAAAGGTAAATCGAACTGTCCTGATAATAAAGCAACAAATATTTTGTAATAATATGTAAAATAAAATTTGAACAAAACTCATTTCACAACAAATATTTAGACGTAAAAAGTTTTTTCCCTCAATTTCGGGTTTTAACCCGATTTAAACCCGGATTTAACAAAGCGCCGGGTTAAAAGCCGGGCGATTGCCCATCTTTGACTACGACCCAACGATACTGCAAAGCGAGCAAAGGGCGCGGGGTACGAGAGGGGAGGGCAGAGAGCAGAATACGTGCGGACAGCGATAAATAAAACGTGACGACAATAGGAGCTGCGACAATCTGTCGTCACGTTTTTATCGTCTGACGACTGTCGTTATAGCTGTTCCCACTGTGACGACAGTTTGTCGTTGTAACGATAAAAAATCGTGAACGACAGTTAATCGTGTCGTGCTATATGTGAACAACTTCATTTAAATATAATTCTTCATTTAAAAACAAGCACCACACTGTAAACTGCACGACAATCTGTAGTCACGACATAGTGGGAACGCGCCCTTACTTTCGCGGTTATAAAAATTCGAGAAAACGTTATTTCTGGAAAATGTCATTTCGGACTTCTGATAGGTAACCCAAAACAGGATTATGCATCGCCATTTGTATCTTCTCAGAAAATAATTGACAGCACATATCTTCACAATATTTATTATAAACACACATCTCGAGTACACAAACTCTTTTACTTGAATTGCTTTCTTGCAATCAATTTAAATCATTCCGTCAAACTACCATTTCTTTCAAAAACCCTTACTTTAGGTTTTCTGCATTTTTTCATACTATATTCTTATATCTATCGTCTCCTGCAACTCTGTACCAGATGCAAATAGTACTTTTTGTGTACAAAACTGTTGGTGTACAAAAGTCAAAGATACCCATCTTATTATACATATTATTACACACCGACTGTCAAACCTCTACCATTAAAACTTAAGGAGATTACTCTCTATCATTATCATGCAACTCTGTAAAACAGTTGTCCATAAACAGACTTAAAAGCCAGAAAGACACTATACATTCCTGTTGGTCACCCAAGAGATGCCAACCCAGGCAGTGACCCATTTGTCCCAACACATGCACTTATCTCAGAGAGCGATATAAGTACAGTCCTTAGTTACATTATAAACAATTAGGCAATACATTAACGTTTTGACCATTTTGAATACTGCAGTCAATATTTTCATCTGTTAAATAATACCATGCGCAAGTTCTTAAAAGTTTCGAAACATGTAAAATCACAATAGTCTTAAACAAATGTGGTACACAATAATATAAAGGCGATGTCAAAATTCAAGGATTTCATAATATTGTACTTCAAAACAAATTACTTTCATTTTAAGATTTTTGAAAAATTGTGGGAATAATATTCATCATTTCTAATAGTCAATGTAGGACGGGAACGGAAGAACAAAAAATTTATGCATCTAAATAAGTTCTACTTTTCTGTCGAATAATCTCCTTAACTATTAGTGACAACTTAATAGCCATATGAAGAATTTGTGTATCAGACACAATTTTAATACGACTAACAGGGCCATAACCCTAAACAGTATGTTTGATTTTAATGACTCCAACTGACCTTTTGAGTGTTCCGGTGATAATAGACATGCGATATCGCTGATGTTGCAGCTCTTTCATGCATGCTCCTTGTAGTTCGCCCACTTCTTCCAGTTTTGTCAAGTATTGCTTGTTTACTGACTGAAATGTTTTATAGAGTATATAGAAGGGTTTATTTTTAGTTAAATATGAAATCTTTATTCTACATTAAATATTATAATATAACAGAGTTAGCTTGTTAAGCCTTTTGTTGTACAAGGTTGTCTGCCATGCTTTATAAGTGTAAAGCAAGGTTGTTGCCACATCTATCATACTCAGTAATTCAATATGAAAATCATGTACTAAAATATGAGCCTCAAAGGCTCATATTAGGTATAGAAATGTAATTTGAACTAAGGGCTCAACTTTAGAATATGTGATGTCGAGTTGGGCGTTCAAATTAGACCCCGTCCGCGTGGACACGACACTTACATATACATTTCATATATTATCTAATTTGTATAAAAATATTAGAATTTGGTACTTGGTACTTGGTGCAACGGGCTGGTATCCGCAACTCGACGACAAAGCGCCTATTTTGCGTGTAATATTAGAATTTATTGATATACTGTTATTAACATATCATAAAAATTATAAAAAGCAATACACAAAGTGGAAGTGGACTGACCACATGTACAAGGAAAGAATAGAAAAGTGGACAAGAAAGTTAACAGAATGGAAAAAAATCTGTCCCTTTAAAAGATGGTCCGACAACTTTAAAAATATAGCTGGACCTATATGGACTAGGCTGACAAGGGACAGAGCCAGATGGATAGAGCTGGGGGAGACCTAAGCGTCTTCAGGATGCGCTGATGCTATAGATTAAGTAATTTATGAATATAATTGTCAATATAATTGAATTTTCCGTATAATATAGGTTAATAAATAAAATAAATAAATAGATAACATATTAAAGTATTTCAGTCTACATACAATTACATACACAAGTATGTAGTTGTATGTACACTACCTATTATGTCGGTTTTCTTATCTGCTTATTTATTTATTGTTGAGTTTTGTATTTGTTTTGTCATTATTATGTTTGTCAGTGGCTTACTCGCCTGGGCTTGCTGAAAATCAGTGCCACAAAATGGTTTCAAAAGAAGCGACTTGTGGCTAAAGCCGAGCACGTCACAATTGCACCAGGCGCGACACGCATGACGGTGAATTAGGTGCTGCATTATCAATTGTTTTAATTTTTTTTAAATTCTTTTATTATTATTTACTTTATTCTTCTCAGCTTGTTAGCTGGCTTGAACCACATTATTATAATTATTATTATATCATTATTTGTTTTAGACTCTCACTTCTCCGAGGGCCTAAAATATTAAATTTTAATTGTTATTATTATTATTTCTATTTTAGACTCCTGCCTCTTCCAAGGTCTAAAACATTATTATTATTGATCGTCTGTTGTTTTGTTTATATACGTGTCTGTGCTTGTGTGAATAACATTTTCTTTCTTTCTTTCTTTTTTTCAAATTAACTTTGTAGATAGGCCTAATTCTTTCCAAATTAAATATGGCACAGGTCATCAATTTTAAAAATTGATCCTATTAATGTTAATGCATTGATGTACTATCATAAAATAGGGTAATAGAATGTGTGTTGATACTGCTATAGAGATAGATAAATAACAATTGACCTTACATGGAGATCAGAATTTAAATGTGTGATTTGCATAATATGATTTGGCTTACAGATTATTATTATACGGTAACGATGTAAATCGTTAGTGAACGTCACAATCTTCGGACAGCTACAAGGTTTGTATCATCATACAACCAAACATAGATTTTTGTTAATATCCGTGAACCTTGTTTAATAGTTCAAAGTACGGCTAAACTGCGAACATTTTTTGAAGGTAAACGTAGTCACAAGCCCCCGCCAATTAATATATCGCGATTATATTATATCGTTATTTTATTGATTCCATCATATATATTGAAATAACTCCTTCATATCAAGTATTAGAAAATACTAGGTCATTAGAATGTAAACAGCTAAATCTATGTTAGCGTAGGAGATAATATGGCTCGAACAGAAAATACAGGAAATTACGAAAATGTTTAATATAAAATGTATATACCTCCAGACGTTTGTAGTCAACTATCAAGTCTTCCCATTCTTTAATGCACTCATCCACATCCATTTTTGCACATTAAAATAAAAAATGCACGACTACGAAATAAAATTCACGTTTAAATTTGAGAAGCTCCGTTCAATTTACGTCGCCGTCCGCACGCAGGACTCATTGTCAAAAGTTCTCAAAATGAAATGTCTTTGTCTATCTCACTCACCCCTCCATGAACGATTGCACACCTGTCACTAAAAATGTTGCTATTTTACTAAGTGGAATAAGATATTTAGTGATTAGACCTTAGTGGATGAAAAAAAAAAATAGTCTAAGGATTATACCAACAATTTGTTGGCTAAATTAAATTCTAAAATGAATTTACGATGACAATTTGTTAACCGTTTCCTGTAAAAGAGCTAAGGGGTTACATGCATTCTTATTCTTTTTTTTTTCCAACCTCTAAGCATGCATTGCACCAATACGTTTGCCATCATGTCAGCTAGATGTTAGCCAGTGCCGTTGTGATTTGTTGGCCAGTGCTGGAGGATTTACAGATTGATTTTTCGTGAGCTTTTCATTAAACTTTTTATTTGGACTGGTGAGAACGTTATTTGTGAAGACTGTACCTCAGTCAACCGTGACCACGGGATAAAGGGCCCGAAACGTCGGTTTGTTTGAAAAAACAAAATACGCGATTTAAATTCGGAAAAATAGTTTTATTTCCTATGTGTAACAATCGCGAAACCCTAAGAACTCAATAATAGAAGATTGCCATATTACATTCTTGCTTTGTAAACAACACGGACGTTCGGTAACTGTGTTCTGAATAACGTTTGTAACCTTTGCCAAACGAGAAGTTCGAGTAATTCGGTTCGGTTTCGAATACGACAGTTTGACGTTCGATTCGGTTATTATGAATAAAAATGAAAAGAAATCGTACGATATCAAATCGAATCGGTCGACAACAGAGTTATCGTAAGGTTCTGAGTCGATCTGCAGTAGTGGTTAGTTTTAAATACCACTACAGCACGTAGTAAGGGTTATTTGTTAAGTATATAGCACGAGAAGAGTAGCGGAGATATATTTAATAATATAAAAATAACAGCACTTAGGGAATACCATACTATTAATGGTCAGGGGGTCTCTCGAATTCTCCGTCCAACATCTGTCCGAAACAATTAGGGCGCGTTTATACGACACGAATTTCATCGCGCTTGTCGAAGAGCAGTCCGCGGCGGCCGCCGGTCAGCGACCGCGAGCACATGTCCAGGTACCGAACTGTCATGGCAAAATACGCTCTATTTATTTAGCTTTCAGCTGGAAGGCACTCGGTCGCCGAGCGGAGTCCGTTCTTCGACCGCGCGAAAACTTTCTCCTCGCGGGATCTTACTGTCAAATAATAGTCAACCAAATTAAAAGACGCCTGATCTTCTTCTTCTTTTAAATGTTATGGCCCCATCGAAATAATCAATGATTTTGCCAATGTCAAGTAAAAATAACTATGTACGGTAGTTTAGTATTATTATAAAAATTATACAAAAAAAAATGGCGATTTCGCCAATGTCCTGTGAGATCAATTCAAGACGCCTGATATATACGAAGCTGTCTTACGAAGCTTCATATTTTTGACACTGTCTTTTGATTTGGTGGAGTATTACTTATTATAGTATCATTATTTTAACTTGCCTAAGGCTCAATTCACATTGCGGCGGAACGAAATTGAATGGAAGCGTCAATTTTCGCTTCGCTGCGCGAGAAGTCATGTGCAGTCGCGCGAATATGCAAGCATTCCCCCGAATGCTCGAGCATTCCAGCGACTGCGAAATTTATTACGCTATGTACAATATCGTTACAAAAACTCGCTTCCATTCCGTTCCACCGCAATATAAATTAAGCCTTAGATCTTAAATAATATCTATGGACTTCCTTTATTTATTTCCATCCTCTAAGCTATAGACACGACGAGTAGTCTTCGATAGTTTTCTTTTTTTAATCACCTATGGTCTTTTTGATGAATGTTTTTTTTCCTAGTTTAATTTTCCGTTTACTAACCTCTTTCACTAGTGAACATGTTAGACGTGTTAGCTAACATTTTTTGGTATATTTCACAAAACCCCACTAAAAATGCTCACTGGTGGGGATCCTAAAATTTTATTCCACAAATCCCCACTAACGTAGTGCATGCTGTGCAGTGGGGTTTTGTGGTAGAAAAATCCCCACCAAGATATTGTTTTATATATTAAATTTGTAGGTTTTGCCGTAATTCCGATATTGATTTTCAGCTCCAATGTCCCGTCAACATTACGACACAAATTGGGTTTCTTTTTTCGTAAATTGTAAATGGACTTTTGAACTCCCTTTAAAATATTGCATTATTCTTGCGCACTCAAACAATTTGCTAATCTTCGCCCTGGAACGCGCAACAAAAGTCAATCGATTCTATTACAAGGATATTCAAAATGTCTTGTAGTCTATTATTGTAATCTGTTATTATCATACATAATAAAATATTGAATACAGTAAAGTTTTTGTTAAATTATAAAAGATTTTTTCTCCGGGTATATACGGAAACACATTTCTGTCTAGCCATAAGGCAGCTGATCGTACCTTTCACTATGTTTTGTATTGTCACTGTTTTTATTTTCTGTGCAATAAGGCTTAATCTTTTCTATACTTATAAAATTAAAACACAAAATTGAAAAACGTAAATAATAAGCTATATAAAAAGTTCTATAAGTATTGCAGTCGATTGTTGTAAAATGTGATTTTTTTTAACAGTCGAGCTCGAATAAAATTTTCAATTTTTTTATAAAATAAAATCAAAATCATTCTTGACGTCACTTTCCCAAATTATGCTTGCACTTTGCGTTATTATGTTTTATTATATTATGATAAATAGACTAGAAGACACTTTGAACATCCTTGTAGTAGAACCAGGTTGACTTTTGTTACGCGTTCCAGGGCGAAGTTTGAGTAGACCTTAAAGAATAATTCAATATTTTAGATGAAGTTCAAAAGTACATTTTCAATTAAAAAAAAGTCAGTCGTAATGTTGACGGGACATTGGCGCTGAAAATCAATATTGGCGTTACGGCAAAACCTACAATTTAATATATCTAATATATAAAATAATATCTTGAAGATTTTTTCCACAAATCCCCACTGCACAGCAAGTCTACGCTGGTGGGGATTTGTGGAACATACTCAATTTTTCACATAAAAATACCGATACCGAAACGTATGTCGGATGACGTACTGGCCAACAAGTCAATCATTCGCGGCAACAACGTCCAATATGTTCGCCAATGAATGGAGCCCTTTATAATGCATTTGTATGCGTTCATTACGAAGGTTTAGGGTGGGAACACGATTGCCATATTTATAATTGTTGCCATAAAATATGTGACCCTTAAAAATCCAACGAACTGAAAGGAAAACATATTGTAAAATAAATAAGATATATTTAATTGATTTATTTACAGAAAATATTAAACAGAATTCTATTAAATTTTGGTAGTAAGTAATCATTATAATTAAGACAAAATACTGTGGTTATAGAAGTACAAACTTCTCTTGAACAATTTTTGACGCCTTCTGTGATGTTTTGTAATGACTGGCCAAGAGAAATTTGCTTGTAAACATACATAAATATCGGTATTTATCCTTGTAAGCATTATCATGACATGAGTGCGTAAATCTTAGTCGATAATTGTAATACAAATTCTTAATGTAAAACGTACGATATAGATTGCAAGCCATATAAGTTCACGATCGCCAATTAGTGACCAAGTAGGTTGTGTAAACGCAGAGTTTACCTTTTGCAAAATCGGTTCACGTTATTACATGAACGTTCTTATGTAGTCTAGTTGTTAATTAATGACTAGAAAATTATGTGAGAAGTAGTTTTCCCGATGTGTAGAATATGTGTTTCTGCTGAAATTATTTTTATAGAGCGTTCAGACAACCTTCTCGGACATATTCTATGTAAGAATTTACATTGATAAGCAGATACAATGATTAATGCAACTACTCCTAACCATGGTGAAAAACTAGCTTCTTTGTCCTATACACCATAGAATAAGGAACTAAGATCGATTTGAATTAATGCTATTTTGAAGTGTGTCACCATGGTGACATTAGGGCAGGACTTTGCGCCCAGTGTCCTTTATACATAATATAAGTAGTGTTCATGCGCTAATACGGCAAAGCTTCTAAGTATAGGACCATACCATACTAGACTACGATTACCACTAACTTCTACTAAAATATCAGGCAACCAAATTTCTCAATGCCATAATAAATAACTAATCAATTCGAACATAATAGGCTTCATTTAACATTTATCTTTGAATCTAGCTACCTCAAACAGGATTGAAAAAAATTAAAAATATTAATTATATCACACACTTTAATTTACGTAGAATTCGAATAATGCAATGCAAATGAAAACGCCTTACATATTAAATTCAGCAGTTAACGTAATGAAAATGTAATGCAATGTTAAGTGGTCTGCATAACAAACACTACTCTAGCAATTTAATTCGATAGCTACATGAAGAATTCCGTTTGAGACATTAAAACTGAAGATATAAATAAATAATTAAAAACTTTAAAATATAACGCTCTAACTTATAGTTAAAGTTTTGAATCGCCAAAACTTAAAATAAGTTCTTATATGAAACTTGTGTTCTCTATAAAAAAAAACTCCCGCCTACTTCGCCTACTGACTAAATCGTGTTAGATATTGAATGCTCTTTGCCTCGGCAGACATCCATTAATGCTGTTGGCACACCCGCGAACAAACACAATGAATAATCTAACATATCGATGTGAGACAAATACCAAAAGCTGCATTAAATACATTGGTTGATAAAATGTCGATGATCCATATGAACATAACTGATTTTGTCATGAATACCCATCAAATATCATTTTTAATATAACTAAATTATCAATAAACAAATCAAGGTACAAGTTTTTCTAGAGTGGACATTTAAGAAATCATACTAACTACTCATACGAAATAAAATTTATATCTAAACTCGCTTATGAATAAACAATAACTACAAAATAAAACAGAATATTGAAATGTTAAATTATAACACAGCTTTTACTCCTCACTCCGACGTTCCGATCGGGTACTTGACGAATGCTACGTCACTATGTAATTACTCGGAAGTTGACCAACAGACATCGGAAATATTATATTAGCTAAAATATAAAGAACTATCTATGAGCCATTACAATTTAATGGAATGTGCATGTGAACCAGAGGGCTTATTAATATGCCGATATGGAAATAAACAGACATAGCATCGTCATATGTACGGGAAGAGACATCAATGAGCAGAAGGGTGAAAAGTTAGAATAAACTATCAAAACTATTTCTCCATTCTAAATGATTATCCAATAAGATCGCAAATGATACTGCTCTCATTGCAGCTAGTGAAAATAATGATAAAGATATCATCGGTGAGTTTTAAGTTACTAATAAAATGGCAACGCTCTTAGCGACATTCCCAAACTTTGAGGGTTTGATCGACGCTGCCTGATATCACGTATGGCAAGCTCCTGTGGAAATCTGAAACAAATGAATATTTAACTGTTAGATGCAGGTGTTTCAGGGGTGTACGATTCTAAGACGTTCAGCCATATATTGGCTATTAATGATATAATGACTATTGAGGTCTCATATTAGTCTCTGCATGCATGCAATTGCAAATATTTATTTCTAAACATCTATATTATATATTTATAATATATATTTCAATTTGACTGGACAGAGGTGTTTATCAATATTAACGGTAATGTTGATTTTCGGGAAAAAATATCTCAATTCTGTGAGTATAATTTTGTTTATTAAGTACCGAGGCTGGTAGCGAAGTGCTGGTGCGCGTAAAGAGTCTTAAGACAGCGTGTGTGTGCGATGTCCCAGACGCGTAGTGTCTTGTCGTCAGACGCCGTGAGGAGGTAGCGTCCGCCGGGGTGCCACGCCGCGCCGCGCACCCAGTTGTCATGCCCGACCAACGTCGCTAGACACTGTCCTGTGCTCACGTCCCAGATCTACAAAACGATTGTAATATTGTTATAAATTCTGTAATGCCTGCTATTTAATAACCACGAGATAACAGTTCATCGATTGGATTCGACCTCTGTTCTAGAGTAGTAGTTTTCATAACTATAGTAACAAATAAACTGTTCCCTGGCAGAACGGTTACTATGCTGGACTGTGACGCAGAGGTGCGATGCGAGAGGAGGAGGGTTCGATTCCCGGGCCGGGAGTAATATTTGTATGGTCTACATTTTTTTATCTTGTGAGTTTGGGTGTCATTTACGGTTATCTATGTGTGCCCATGGCACCCGCGATACAGGGATTTCTTCGTGCGGAGCTGTGTGTACGTTAAAAAAAGAAAAAAAAAAAATAGCATAGTGGAAATAATAAGGCAGGAGTAAAAGTATTGCAGAAGGTTACTTCTAGAATGTGTGATTGTGGCATGTTATACCTTGACGGATTTGTCGCGCGATCCGCTGGTAAGGAAGGGCCCGACGTGTGCGGCGCGGCGATTGTCGCCGCCGGCTGCCTCATTGACGGCCGCTGCCGCCAGCTCAGGTGCCCATGCCACGCACTCCACCACGTGCTCGTGCTCGCGCAACTCCATCTGAACACAAACACAGAATGATTTAACTTTAAAACCTCCTGAAACACAGTTTTTGTCTTCCTCTGTTCGTGCCATCGTCACAATGTGACGAACGACGACTACTGACACGAGGCATCACGTTTGGTGAAACACCTTAGGAAAAAGGATGAATAAATTTAATTTAGTACCGAAGTACTGGGAGGACAGTGACCTATTAAAGTAAATGTATATTTTGCGTATTATTGCGTGTTCTGTAATTGTACCTTGCACTCGTTAGTCTCGGCGTTCCATATGCGCACGGTCTGGTCGTTGGAGCAGGAAGCGAGCAGCGTGCCGTCCGGTGATACGCGCACCATGCGCACCCACTCACGGTGACCTTTGTAAGTCTTAATGCAGTAACTGTAATACATAATATTTTTTCAGAGATTCATGCAAGGTTAGAAGTACATACAAACATCTACAAGTATTAATGCTTCTTAAGGCGATGAGGTGCCCAAAATCGCTTAAATATGGTGTTTTAGTGTAAGTTTTTAGGCGATAACATAGCACATGGAACTTTGAAAATAGTACATCCTGTAACACGTATCTTGAAGTGTAGCTTGAAATTCCTAGAATATGGCTTATTGTCATAGGTAATACAAAAACTGGATTACAGTGAGACTCTGGTGATTATTTTTTGACATATTTTTCTCGGGCAAAACGTAGGAGTAAAACGTAACTTTCGCCTACTAAAGTACGATTTGCTTGCAAATTATGGACAGGCACTTAACAGTGTGAAAAAATATCATACACAAAAAAATACGTAAACAAGTAAATATAATGCACCAATTCGTTGAAATGAAAACAAAATATCTTAAAAGAAGTCAATTTTTTTACCATTAGGTGAGATTAAAAAAAAAATATTTTTGGTTGGATTAAAACCTAAAACACAAAGTATTCAAAACAAAAATGAAATTATTGTTTGCGTCCTTGATTATTTAGTAAAATTGCAACGTTGAAAACTTCTGCTGCGTAGCTTGCGTTCTTTTGATACGTTGCCAGACCTCTGTTTTGACATGGTTTTGACAAATTAATTTATATTGTATTGTAATCGGCTATCTACCGTCGAGCACGATACTTACGAGATATGTAGTTGGACATAGTTATGCAAACTATAACCAACCCACAAAATGTCACTTTCGAGATAATTAGATTTTTGTAAAAACAGTGTGAAGAAATAAATAGTTAAGTTATTTGAGACTAGAGATGCGCCGAGTACTTGTTTGCTACTCGGTACTCGGTGTACTCGGCCGAATAACTCGGTTCATGAGAAGAGTACTCGGTTAAAATAAAGCATCACAGCTATAGACATAACAAAGTAAAATCAACAATATATTTAAAATATTCAAAAGAGATTTATTACTAGAAATTGTAGACAATTGTAACAATTTCTAGCAATTTAGTAATTTAAAAAGAAAGTTTACATTATATTTAAAATTTAACAAAGGCAAGTTATGATGTAGGACTATTTACACGGCTTTCTGCGCGTTCAGGTAATAGTCTGTTCCTTTTTTCTTCATACACATTACCCGCTTCGGCAAACAACCGCTCGCTATACACAGTGCTTGCAGGTGCACATAAAAACACTCGTGCTAACTGTGCCAGTTTTGGATATTTCTTGTTATTTTATTGTTTCATGTTCTGCCCACCATTGAAAAGGACTTTGCTCTCGCGGCAATAAACTTTCATTGACATATCGGCCTAATTCTAGAGCAACGGGGGCTTTTAGGATCATCGCGTTCCGTTGTAATGAACCGAGTAACTCGGCCGAGTACTCGGCTCGGCAAATGTTAAACCGAGTAATATTCGTTACTCGGTTACTCGGTAAAACTTGTACTCGGCGCATCTCTATTTGAGACAAACGATGTACTGTAGCAGTGAGAATGATATAGGGAAACTATTATATTACATAGCAATAAATAGAAAAGATTATGTATTTTTTTATTTAGTTAACGAGAATCATGTTCTAGTTTTCGTAATGAAAACGCCAAAGATCTACAGTACTTCAGTACATGTGACATGGATCCATTTAGCATATTTTAAAAAAGACATTATATGAAGTTATAAGAAGCAGCAAGGTTCTTTTTATCTATTAAAAAGTTACTTATGTAGGGTTGGTACCATGAAGGATTTTTATTTTCTCCATTTTGGCTTGGTATGTTGCCAGGATCTTTTGTGAGCGGGTAAAGGTGTTCTACCTAAATACATAACTCAATTTCACTTGAGGTGTGGGTTGTTTCTTGTTTGCATAACAGTCCAGTTCTTATATGCTTTGATATTTTTTGGTTTGATAGCATGTGTGTATTTTAAGTACAGCGCCATCTGTTAGCGGCAATCAATATTATGTTAAATCAAACGGAAGGTCCAACTACCACACTATTACCGCATCGGGACGTATGGCGCCACCTTATTGGAAAAATTATAGTAGGCGCGTTGTCGCTTAAGTAGTGCTTAAGCTTAGTAGTGCCATGGTGGGGTGTTCAATTGACGGTAAATATGTCAACAACATTAGTTATGCCGATGACATGGTGCTGCTGAGCCCCTCGAGGGCACTAGCCCTAAGAAAATTGTTAAAAATAAGTGTCAAGTATAACGCAAGGGTTGTTCTTCAAAAGGGGCAAAAAACGTCTTCCGGTCAATTATTTTAATATACTAAAATTTCATGACACAATTAATAAGCTTTTTATATATATTTACCATTATTTTACATGTTACCCAGTTTAAAAAATACATCTTTGGTTTAATTTATGAAAAAAAAATCAAAAATGTCGCTAAACGTCATTTTACTCCTATTCCTATGACGTCTCTTAACACAACATTTGTTCACAAATAATTTATTAAATACTTATACATTCTAAAAATTTTATGAATGAAAGTTTAATAAATTAACCTTCGTTTAAAATAAAAACCTCTTCAAATACTTTGCATGGTTAACTTAAACTTCAATTCAAATTATTGCTACAAGAAAAACGTCATTTGTCGCAGTAACGTTGTTAAATCTTATTATTGAACGACGCATTTTCGAACGCATCTTTAATACACCTTCCCGGGTGTGCGGGAGGGGCCTTCAGTCGGCGGAGACCTATTGGTGAACGAGCACGTGCGGGTCTGAGAGCTGTAAGTAATTTTTTATAGTTCTTCACATTTTGTCATTAAAAATATCATTTGTGTTTCAACCTAAACTCCTTAAATGCACATACGTAATATTTTCGTTTGTATTTTATTCAATAGCCAGTGGCAAATGAATTCATTTAGTCTAATCATAACGGTTTTTTAATGCTCACAGACAAGTCCATACAGGTTTTTTCCTCAACTCGTCATTCTATGCTACATCATTGTCGGCACTTATCCGATTCGCCGTCATCGCAATACCGGAATAAATATATGTTTTATATTATCAGTCAATTGTCGTCCCAACACAGTAATATAACTAGAATAACCTGGAATTATTCTGAAGCTGGGCACGGAAAGGGTGCTCCTGATGGCGTTGGTGGTACAATAAAAAGAGTAGCAGATCAAATGGTGCATTTTGGTTCAGATGTTGGAAATTTTGATGAGTTTTACAAAATCATGGAATCAAGATTAGAAAATATTATAATTCAAAGAGTTTCAGAGCAAGACATAATTCAGAGGGAGAGATTGATTCCTGAGCAGTTGAAACCATTCAGGGGCACCCTTTCTGTACATCAGGTTCTTTGGGACGCGTTCAGACCTAAAATCACTATGAGAAATATGAGTTGCTTCCTATGTGATGCTGGTGAAATTTGCTCCCATGGTAAGCATTTGGTTATATCAATAATAAGTCCTTTAGAAATCAGAACGACGATCTTGATTCTTGTGTAACTCCCCTGGCAAACACTAAGCGTAAATCTCAAAATCAAAACAAAATTCAGATTATTTCTAATGTTCTTATTGATGTCACTAATAAGACTCAGCTTCAGTGAAAATTGACCCATTTTGATTATTCCAATTTAGTTGATAATAATTGCGATTGGAATTAAGATGATAATACGTGATATTTTTTGCGTGAAATCTTTTGAATCCTAAAATTGTAAGTAAAAGTATACTATTTGAAACTTAATATTTGTCTATCCTGTGTGTAGATCAAGGATATTACGGGGATGAGGACGCAATGCGGATGCAGATATGAATATTTTTAAGAGATATACATCACGTAGCTAAAATATGTGGAACTCTCTTAATAATTATGTCCTTAATTGAAGAAGTTAATCTGTGATTTTTTAAAATAATTACCAAATTACTATTACCAAAGAAAAACTAAATCCCGTATTACAGAACATAGCTCAATACTAAAGCATTACTTAAAACTAGATTCAAGCCAGTTGATTGGTTGAAACTATTTTTTTTATTTCATCAGTACTCAAGAATTACTTAAAAGTAGATCCAAGCCAGTTGATTTCTTGAAACTATTTTTTTTTATTTGATTAATACTCAAGCATTACTTAAAATTAGATTCAAACCAGTTGATTGGTTGAAACTATTTTTAAGTAACGCTTGAGTCTTGGTAGACGTTCTATAATACGAGACTGAGTCCTTTATTAGCTAGATGATTAAGTTATTTGAGTGTGACAGTTTGTTTTTAAGAAATATCTAAGTACCTACTTAGCTTCACAGTTACGTATTTATCGCCTCACGCTAATAATTTAAGATTGTCATTTACTTTGAATCCTTTGTTTAATAAATAAATATTATATAATATACTTAATAAATATTTTGATTACTTAAATGTTTTTTTATTGTTAAATACCCAAAAATGAAAGATTTTAGATCATTGTCTGCAACACGGCGTCATTATTATACAAGCTAAAGTCATTCTCAGTGCGTGGTGTCATTAGTATCAACGTGAATAATTAGAAATTTACAAATATTACGAAGAATAATGAAAATTAATACGTGCCTTTCATAAAATAATCTTTTAGAGTATGCTTACATTGCATTTAGCTTGATAAAAATAGCTTACATAAAGGTTCTAAAAAATATATGAAAACTTAACAAAAATAATTTATTTCGAAGAACAACCCGCAAACGAAAGTGTAATGCTAGTGTTCAAGGCTGGTGCTAAAGACTATCGTTCTGTGCCGCCAGTCACTCTCGGGGGCACTACACTCGAAACAGTGTCGGAAATTAAATACTTGGGGCACTGGGTCACCGAGTCGCTTAAAGATTGTATGGACTGAGAGAGGGAACGTAGGGCGCTGGCTGTTAGAAGTAATATGTTGATCCATAGATTTGCAAGGTGCACCTTATTTAAAACCTACTGCCAATCATTTTATGCCTGCAATCTGTGGACGGCATTTACTAAAAAGGCATACAGCGCCCTACGTGTCCAATATAATAATGCATTCACGATGCTGTTGGGGCTACCGTGCTACTGCAGCGCGTCAGCAATGTTCGCAGAAGCCTTTACGGATAGCTTCCAATCCATTTTAAGAAAGCGACAAGCCTCCCTAATGCAGCGGGTGCGCGCCAGCTCCAACAGCCTCGTTACTACAGTAGCAAATAGAGTTGATGGTCCTTTCAATGAACGTCTCAACTCGTTGCATGTAGTGCCCTCTAAGTGGGCTGTAAAATAAAAGTACTCGTAAATATGTACATAAGTAAATGTCATGTAATAAAGTAAACAATGTAAATTACTAACATAGTTTATAAGTCAGTTACTAATTATATATGGATTCAGGTCCGAAATAAATGCTTATTATTATTATTATTATTATTAAGGTCATCGACGCAAGGTCATCGACGCTTGTCAGCGTTTAAAACATTGCATTTTAGATACAATATAAAGATTAAATTTTTTTAAATTTTGTTAAAATGATGGTTTTGAATTCTCATTTCTTAACGACCTCGTCTGTACCCTATTTTCTACTCAGCCACGAGCGGTTATACGTTACTCGTTTCGGGACTATCACTATGAGTCAGAAATCATATATCTTACCCTGTAGCTACCTCCCAAGCCTTGATGGTCTTATCACGACTGGCGGAGTAGACGATGTCGCCGCTGGGTGAGAATGCGACTGATGAGACGTTGTGGTCGTGGCCATGCATCGTTTTCACACATTCGAACGTCTGGTTAAAATCCCACAGCTTGATCGACATATCCGCGCTGCAAGATACTGGAAAATAATAGATAAAAAGTTACACAATGTAAGAGAAATATTACAAAAGGAGATAGTAATTAAAGACATAGTAATTGCAATTTAAAAAAAAAGCATCATATTTTACTTAAATTATTTTGCTACAACGGTTTTATTGTAACGAACATCCACAAGTGACTTCAGTGTATTTTACAGACTATTTCCTGTCTTAATAATAATAATAAAGTATTGATGAATGAAGCCAATCAAAGTGAATCTTGTTTAAAATTTCCTTAATGTATGTCGTTATGTTCAACTAATAGCTGGCTATTACTAAAGACATAAGAGATGGTGTGTAGAAAGTAAAGATTATAAATATTAACGGCACATTTCCTTAGGTCAGGTTTTACTACTAGTTAGTTGGTTAGGTATTAATTTTATGGTGTAAGAAACATGAAATAGGCGTCAAATAGTTGAGTGGACGGGAATTGTGCAATAAGGGCGTGTTACCTATATCGACATGTATCTACGTATTATTTAATAAATTATTGCATGTCGGTAGTTTTAGATTTGATAAAAGTAGTTTAGTAATAAATTGGTGTTGAAGAATAATATTGACGGATAATAGAGCGAGGAAACGTATAGATGATTGGGATGCTATCAATATAGGTTGATAGGTTGATTTAGTACATTATAGTGAAACAGTGAAAACTTACAAAATTTCGTAGAAGTTTATCGAACCCTAATTCTTTTTTGAATGCAAAATTAGTTTATTTGACATGATAGACAATAAATTTAAAAAGATAATACAAATGAATAATAAACCAAATTTGTCAAATGGGCCTACGCAATGGTCTTATATACGTAAAAAAGGCAGATATCTCCTAGCATCCGCATCTTGAAGATTTGAAAATCGGATGGATAACTGTACGATCTTGCTGTATCAGTCTACATCGAACTAAGAGACGAATTTGGCAATTGTAAATTGCGTCTTTTTAAGGAAAATGCTGTTTCGTTTATTAAGAGAATGCACTAATTACCATGGAAAAGTAAATAAAACACAAGAAATCACATACCAGGCGTAAGTGAACTATTCACATTATTGCTATATTTTATATTGTATATGTAATTTAAAGAATTGGGTGCTTACCAAGTAGTTTTCCATGATGATCAAAGGCGATGTCCTGAACGGAGTCGGTGTGTCCCTTTAGGGTTCGTTCGTACTCGCCGCTTTCGAAGTCCCATACTTTGATAGTTGCATCCTCGCTCGAGGAGACCATCAAACTGAATACTGGATGAAATATTACCTGGAAGTTACATTTACGTATTACATAACTTGGACACTGATCGGTTAGTTAGTAGATTATTTGCATCTATGTTCAAATTGCGCAAGTACAGTCGCCTGCAATGATATGTAGACTATCTTTTGAGAATCACGTTACATTTAGATTATTACTTATTATTTGCTTTTCCTGTTTACGGCAAAACATCGTACTGGATGGTTAAATCATCATAATGTTTAAATCTCTATAAATGTATGAAATCCCCGTCACGTATTGGGAAAGCGTGGCCGGCTATGGTCTAAATTCTACAAAAAATGCTGACAGGCAGAGAGCAGAACGTAAATTCGTTATTTTTTTTTAAACGCGCATATCTAGAGACTTCGCGCGAACGCCTTGACGGACGGGTGCAATGAATATGGCTACTGATATAGTGAAGTGTACAAAGTGCAATATAGTTATAAATGAGCTTTCATGTTTTATTCAAAATAAAATTAACATAATGGTGATAAAGGTTTAGTTAGATTATGCTTGAGTGCTTTTACTACGCCAGAAATTAGTGCCGCAAAAGATTTGCTCTTTGCGTCAATTTCTACTACAATATAGAAAGTGTCAAGACGCGTAAATAAAGAACAAAAGGAACTAGAAGATATTATTCGTATAATCAAGAACATAGAACCGGACAACACTCCTACATTTGTGGCGAAGGGACTGCATAAACTCCCTCCTATAAGCTTTGATCATATAGATGTTTCAAGAGTATTAAAAGATATTATTTTGTTACAGTTTGAAGTGAAAACCATAAAGGAATTCGATGTAACAGCTGATGATCTAAAGGATGTAAAATTGGAAATACAAAACATGTAATACACATCTTTAGTAAATACTGATTACAGTATCCTAAAGGTAAATAAAAGGCGAGGCGGGTACTTGTTAGAAGACAGCGGACTGTTTGATATTTGAAATGTTGCGAGTACCAGCACGACTCCACCAGAGGAACTTGATGGCGTGACTACACTCTAAGCGGGATTTTTAAAAATTTTGGCTCCTGTGTGTGTCGATGGTGCTTCCAGACCTAGCTATATTGCTAACTTGTTTCTGCAGCATTTTAAGGTTCAGTCACCATTGGGAACGCCGAAGAGGGGATTTGACACTGAGGCCATTGGGAGGCTTAAAATAGTTATTCTCGCCAAAGACGCCAAAATGGCGATAAAACGAACGACGAAAGGTAAATCGCCAGGTCATGATGGCCTCTGTCTCGAACACCTTCGGCATGCTGGCGTGCATCTTCTGCGGGTACTCGCCATGCTCTATAACTTCTGCCTAAGTCACTCGTATCTACCTTCTGATTTGGTAAAGACTGCGGTGGTGCCTATAGCCAAGAGTAAGACAGGGGATGTCTCAGACAAATCCAATTATAGGCCTGTATCATTAGCCACAATAATAACGAAGGTAATTGACAAACAGTTTCAACGCAGTATTACGCAAAAAACGAACTCGCTTATAGACAGAGTGTGGGACATCAGTAACAGCATCTTGAAGATGATGTCTAAGAAATGTAATTGTCCTTTGATGTGGAAACTCACTCAAAGGATTAAATCATTGTTAATTATTAAGTACTAGGCTAAGAGTAGTAGGTTAAGAGTTACTAACACAAGTGTGGACCTATGAAGTTGTCTGAATTATAAATAAATAAATAAATAAATAAAATAAAAAATATGAGAAATGAATGACCCTGTGAAATTTATGTTATTGAATTTCATAACATTTCTTTCACTGCGTAACCCTTTGCAAAAACAAAGATATTTAATTAATGTCTATTTTGAATCCGTCTCGTATTCAAGTCACGTCATTAGGTTTTCACTGAAGTACCTTATCAGTACCTACACTTATCGTTTCTTAAAAAAAAATTGATTCATTACAAAAACAATCGATTTATTATTATTTTGCAATTGACAAGATGAGCGAACTACTAAAGGTGTTACCGAAACAAAAAAACGAAGATTGACACGTACCCGGAGGTGAGACCTGTGTACGTTGGTAGATTATTAACAAAGTTTCATCTTGACCAACTTCAACGATTACAACTTTAACGAAGTCAAAGGCGAACAAAAAGTAGAACAATGTCATTGTTAAAACAATATGTCAATATAATCTTGTTACTTCATCGCAGACTTTCTTCAGTACGTCTTATGGTGTAGAAAGTTTATGATGTCCCTTTGTTAGCTGATTTCGCGAGGAGAATATGAGCATCCATCATTTTAAATTGACTACATAATTGTGATATGAGTAGGCGGAATCTATTCATCATATCTGTGAACTTAGCCATGGTAATAAAAGAGATGTGACGACGATTTATGTTTATGTTAGTCATTTGGTACGTATGGTATGCATTACGCTGTGTATTTGGTATGATTTTGTTGTTTTTCATTAGTGTAATGAAAATTGTACCTTTGTAGTTCCCGAATTATGAATATGTGGTGTAGTAAAAAGGCTAGATGAGGGTCACTCAAAATAATATCAGCGTGTCCCTTTGTATCAAAGACAAATGTGTCTTGCAAATCGTGGGGATTGTGGCAAATTCTCCTTTTTTAAGACTGTTAAACGTAGATGTAATACTGAATATGAGTTCAGTACCTTAGTAATGGTGGCTCGATGGCCCGTAAGACAAAACTTCTCCGGTGGGCGCGGAATCCACTCGGCAGGTGTACGTTTCCCTCGCGTCGGCGCGCCCTCCATAAACTCCTTTTGCGCTTCAGACAGCTTCGCCTCTAGTTCCATCACCTGAATGACAAGATAACAATATAATGTAAACTTATATGTAGATCCCGGTTAATATTACATTGTATCTGCACTGTGCTGCCCAATTTAACTGCAGCAAAGGGTGGCAGTTATAATACTATACCTTTGTTTTAGGTGAGGAGGAGGAGGTATACGCGAAACAGATTAAGGCATGTAAGAAAAGACATAGGCATACTATTATGAAAGGTGTGGATAGAAAATATAGAGCGACAGCTATTACGTTTCGACCTCATTCGTTAATTCATAAACGTTCAGATATTTAGGTAACAAACGCCAAGGGCGTGTTAGGATAATAAACTGAAAGCATTCTAGGTCATTACTAGAATGATGCGCGTGAATCGAGCGCATCGTCACCTTGAGTTTTGTTGGTTTCGGGGCATTATTTCTTATACCACCGACAGATGGCCAATAGTATCAATGTGATATACGAGTGACGAGGCGACGTTTGTCGGGTAATCTGTTGGCCTAGAAATGCCGTCGCAGTATAAATTGGTTGGTATTGTCTGTCCAGATCAAATCGTCTCAAAAGGTAATTTCATGTCTCTTAAACACTTTATTGAAAAGCATCACATCTTCGAGCAATAACTGTAATAAATCTGGGGAACAGTTTCTCACGTAATTTGAACTGGTAAGGATTGTGCCGCGGACGTCATTAAAGACTGTAGAGAGTATAATTCATCATATTTTTAGTGTTTACAAATAGATTAAATGTGTTATCAATTGCAGATAGTAATATGACGTAACACTACACGATTCATCATGGCCGATTGTTTCTGTCGCCCACTTATTTCGCTTGGCCAGCTATTTAAAAAAAAAACTAGTTTTCGTGATTGGTAAAACTTTGTAGTCTCTTACGATTTGAACAACTAACCGACAACGACAATGCAGATATTGAATTAGTAAATTTATGAGAACGTTGCTTTCATGACTTATATTTTTACTTTCTGAATAGACGACTATTGTGATTAACAAGTGAGTCTTAATAGTAAAGACACCTTCTTCTGTAGGCGGATGACAGAGGTCCATTTTTTCTCGAGTAGGCCGCCGAACTTGCGATCCATCTCGCCGGTCATATCAGCTTCCTTCTTGAACGCTTCCAGCGCGTCCGTGTAGCCATTGCTGCCTAGGTAGTCGGCGATCGCTTTGTTCCTAAAACAGAAATATCAAAACTTAATATTTTCTCAAACGACGAAAATAAATTAATATGTACACTAATATATTACCGAATTGTTAGGTTTTAGCGATTATTATACATTGGAAATAAAACTAATTTATTCGAATCTAAATGGCATAAATTTGTTGTTTCAAACAGATCAACGTTTCGGGCCCTGAGATTCTGACTGAGATGGTAAAGGCACCAACAAGATATACTTATTTAATATTTAGAATCTGTAACGGATCCGAAACATTGATCTGTTTGAAAAAAAAACAAATATACGCGATTTAGATTCGAAAAAAAACAGTCAATTCGTAAAATAGTTAAAGAAACACCAGTAAAAAATTACTTATTCAATGATAGAATGAATATATTGATCATACATTATCAGGAAAGATATAGCTTCAGTTAGAATAGAACACAAAAACTTCAGAGCGGACTTAATTAGGTGCAGACGTAACATGGCCATGTAAACGGATGTTGTTTTGCCGTATACATGTATCGCACTGTGTCAAAAAATATAGTAACATAAAAACGGCACAAAAACAAACAGCTGAAGTTCGAAATTTCCGGAAATATTTTAAACTAAAGTCGATAATTTAACTCAACGTAATTTGGGCTTGATAGTGAGGCCTTCGATTTCAAGGGTGTTACGCAGCTTGTATAATTATGTAGGTTCCTACGACGATGAAAAAGGAAGTCATCGAGCCATTGAGAATTCTTTAATGATTATACATTCAGAGAGCGTAAAACACCAAGGTTAAGTATAAAGTAGTAGCTTGAACATTCCTCATTTCCGAATAATGTGCATGAAAGATGTCGCGCAATACTGAAGAATTTTTATATGCACTCGGCGCGCTAATAAGGTGGAACATATGATAAATCTTTCATAATTTAATTAAGTGATAGATAATCTGTGAAATCTTGAATGAAATCTTAGTAGGTCGATGTAATGAGTAGCACGAGGTATGTACTTGTAATGTTTTATAGTGAAGATGAACAAACACCGGCATTTTAACGCGCAACGTATCATTTCATTCACACGACTTTCAAATTATGCAATAGAACCTGTATTTTGACTGTTACGTTTTTTAATGCAGCCAGACCTGCTACATGTGTTCATGTGTTGCTCAAGTAGGCGGAAGAATTATTTTGACAGGTGCTTCTATTCCATGCGTTATATGTTTTGTACTTTTCCGCTTTATAACATAAAAGACAAACATTTAGGAAATGATGCTACACAATAATATGTATATATGTAGGAGATGAAGTAAAACTAATATACTTAAGTAAGATAATTGACAAGCACAATGCAGTGCCATGTAGCACTCCAAAAAACTAAATTACCCATTGGAAAAGACTATTACCAAGAATTCACTTGGTGACGATGTCGGGAATACTTTTTCCGGAATCCTGACTCGTAAGTAACACAAAAGTGAATATTGTGTGTTGTAATAAAATTCCATTGTGTATTGGCTTACCTATCAGTTAAAATAATGTTCGTAACACATGGCGCGCGAACGGCTCGTGTATTCTTACTTAACGTGGACGTCTATTACAGACAATGTCACTGTTATAAATAACATTGGTTTCAAATCAATATAAACTCGGAAGCCTTTTTTTATTGTCATGCATGACATAATTGAATGGCATAAGTGGAATTACGTAAAAAATGTTTATTGCTTCATAACATAGAAGATACAGAAAAATATAACCCACATCCTTTCCCAATAGAATATGCATTTTGGTATCAGATCATGAATTTCGCATACAGCATAATATAAAGTGCAAAGGTAGGCACTTAAACAATTTTATTACATAAAACAGAAGTAAAACATCCAATGCAATAGGTACACGTTACAGGACAACGGAGTATTTTGCAACATTGGAGCTTTATTTATTCATATCGAAACCTTCTTTCACACGACATTTCTATAACTAAACATTTTCGCGTTCTAATTTCCAGAATTGATATAATTTCTTTTTATCTCTTATATAAATCAATGGAACACCGGATTCAGGTTTGTGACGAAAGTAGTATTATTTTTTTGCAAATTTTCGAAAGTCGTATAGAAGAAGTTTCGGATTAATTAAATATAAACCGTGTAAAGCCAGTCGTAGGACGTGATGAACGGATGTTATCAAGATTCTTAGCCGGGGCAGAGCCAGAGGTCGTCAACACTAATTACGCCTAGACGATGAACTTGTCCCAATTCGATTAGTCGGCAACCGCCCTTGTCACCGCCATACTACAAGTATGTATGACGCGCATCCGTAATTATCGCGAATTTATCACGTCCATAAGAAAATTCCAAAGTGGAAGTGCACATTGTCGGTTTTCTGGGCTGATTGTTACTTACTTTACGAGTTGTTTATCACAGATCATACCTGACACTTTGATCGTATGAGATTTAGTATTCAAGTCGAGTTTATATCCCTTGAATATTAGGTCTATATGTATATGTAGATTACAATGAATATTTACCCATGAAAACTGTTTGCACTAGTTTAGTATTGTATGAACTACAGACATATTGAAATAAAACGTCGATTTGCTATACGCTGACGACAAACTTCGACATCTGAACATAGTCTTCGAGGTGTGTGCCATCTCGAAGCCCGATAGTGCTTCAACACTAACACCCACTAATTCATTACTTCATTACAAATGTGCAAAATACACGTTTTGCCAATGTCTTTTCTTCTGTATATGTCACGCATGACACATCAATATGTAAAGTTAGTGATGAGGTCATAAAATGGACACTTGAGCTGAGTGGAACAACATTATGCAGAGGTCGACATTACACCTTACTTTTAAAACAAATTATAAACCAATACAGATTATGATGCATATATTTTATTACATTACCGGTTCGTTTCAACATCTTGTAAAAATATTATCTAGTCATAAGTATATTGCCCGATGTATAAACAAATATAGTCTAGTTCATGTACATTATGTACTTTATTTACTATACATAACCATAATATTAAGTATAATGGAAGTAACTATAGATACTAATGTCCTTAAAGTAATGAAAACGTGTTATTCGTGAATCCGCTGTTGTTTGTATTGATCATTTCATATTAAACACAGTAGGTATTTTAGTGTTAATACATTGTATAATGTTCGAGAATTGATAAAAGACGTCGGGAAATAAACACAACATGTTCTAGAAAGGGCAATCAAAATTTAGTGCTTATAGGCAACGCGCTGTGGCACTATAATAAATCTACAAGACGTAGGGATTGTTCGATCGAGCTACAACTTTCTAAGAGAAATGATAGCAGTTACACTGGTCCTATATCACCGAATATATGATATATGGGATTGCTTTAAGTGGTTTGCTGATATATATATTATTATTAATGGTCTTATTGACTACTTATACCCATAGCAATATTGTAAGCAAGTTACAATTTAAGTGATCAGATTTTAACAAATTGTTCGAATTCTTGTATGATAGTAATAACGCATTATACGTATGGTATACATTATAGTATTGCAACACGCTTGAATTTTACTGCGTATGAAGACCCCACGCACAGTGTGTGGACAAACTTACGCCTTAGCCAACAAACCAAAGGCCGAGTTACGACCGTTACGTCATCTCAACGGTTAAAAACTACTAACCCCGGCACTGGTGACTCAACAACCGCCGATCTACATGTATAAGTTTAATTCGATTAATATTACATAATTGGTAATCCTCATCCTATGAAAAGCTTATAAGTTATGAAAGGGATCACACGAACTTTCCTACGCATAACGTAGGATTACATTGATTCGCAGTAAAGGTATTTCGGATGTCGTAAAAAACCTAATTTATTTTAAATTGTCTAACCGTGCGTTTACTTGCACTCAAGAGAATGAAGCTTATTTCTTGCTTGTTTGCGCCCGCGTTTGTCTGAGCGTTGTGCGGAGAAATTGAATCGATTCGAGACAATCAGTTTCGCGGGTATCCCTATTGTTTGCGTGGGAGCAATCACGTTAGTTATTTTCGCACAAGTGAAAAGAGGTGTGCGAGTATTGAAAAAAAAAAAAAAATTATATATTTTGCAAAATAATGAGGAATTCAATGACTCTTGATTGTTAGTTTATTAGTCACTCATTATCAAATGCATTGTGCAAAAGTAAGATCTACGTATAATATACAGCTTAATTAAGCACTTATAGCGCTGAGAGGGTTCCTAATGTAGTTGGTCGCAGTATCTTCACGCTTGGACAGTAAGAGTTTAGTAGTAATGCTGGAGCTCAGCGAAAGTGGTTTCGTGCATAGGAGGCACAGGCAGATCGGGGACCGCTGAGAAAACTTTCACGCTACATTTCCGTCGCCACGACTCTGATTGGAGTGACGAGGGCTCTCAACATAGCCTTACGCGATAAATATAAAAATTGATTTAATTTGATAGTTGCAATGCAGACGAGATAACAGATATCAATTATCAACGTAGTTACGAATACAGACAAGATAAGAACTCGGTTCCTGAATGACTAGTTGGACTACTCCTGACCAAAATAAAACCATGACCGCTGTTAAATTAGTATGGCCAGACTATTACCATTAATGTTACGTGACTGTCAATAACGATTAGCAACGCAAATACGTGAGGCTGTATTTTAATTCGAGAATACCGGTTTGGCTTTCATTACGTCGTAAAAATAATATTGCTTAATATTGTAACAGAAATCTGAACAATTTTATTCAGTGTTCGTTCAGTAATCTAGAGTTACGAAAATTTCGTCAAGAAGATGGCCTTAAGTTTTAATTATTGTATTTTTTTATATAATAAACTTGTATAAAAAAATCTTGTAGGATTTGACAACGCTGTAGAAGATAATATTGCACAATAAGAAATGATTTTGTTTTTGTTGTAACCACATACTTGAACTAGGTCGCCAAAAGTGTACAATCAGTAATCACGGAAGAGAACACTTGAAAGAGCGTGAGACAGGCGTGAATTCCAATTCGAGCAAATAAACTTATCA